TCATACTCCGTCAGTATCTGTGAGAAAAAAAGGCAACAGGCAACTGATACCCGACTGAAGTCTCCGTGTCCAGTCCAACGTCCCTCCCTTCTTCCTTTCCTCCCTCCATCCCTCCCTCCTTTCCTCCCTCCGTCGCAGAAACGTCACTTGCGTGGCCCTGGATCCGCATCCTGCTGCAGTCGCTCTTGCAAAGGCGAATGCTGCTCGACTGGGTTTCCCTCCATCCGCTTACCAGGTCGTGCAGGGCGCGCTAGGGGAGGACGAGGGGGAGGGAGGGGAGGAGGGAGTGAAGGAGGGAGGGATGGTGGCAAGCCTCTTGGGGGCCGGAGGCTTGAAAGGAGGCAGTATAGAGGGGGAATGGGAAACGAAGGGGCGCAAAAAATTCGACTTCATTGTCGCGAACCCTCCGTACATCCCCGACGCGGATATGGGCCGGCTTCAGGTAAGGAAGCCGAGCGAGGATGGGGAACGAGTTATAAGGCTTTCGGCGTATGCCTAGCCTGTGATGGGGCACAAGTGCGGGAGAATTGCTGAGTGTGGTTGTTCCCGAGCGTTCTCTCTTCGGGTTGCGTGGTGTGGTAGGCCCATAGGCTTGGGGGGATGGTGTGGCCATGGAACGAGCTGAGCAAGTGAGAGGAGGGGGGGGCAGGGAAATACTGGCTGGATCTGTGACTGTTTTGATTCACTTTCCGCTTGTTTAATCCCACGATCAGCCTGAAGTCAAGGACTGGGAGGACCCAGGTGCTTTGGCAGGCGGAGGCGACGACGGAACTCGAATAATCAGGGCGATACTGCGAGCTGCCCCGCGATTGCTTGAACCGAATCGCAGCAGGATGAAAAAAGCGAAGGTATGGATGGAAGTAGATGCGAGCCACCCCCTTCTTTTCGCGAAGGAGGAAGAAGAAAAGGAGAGGAGCAAAGTGGGAGGAGAATTGCGTCTGATGGAATGGCGGGAAGACCTCTCTGGAAAGCCGCGTTTCTGTTGCTGGGCACTGAATGAATCTCCGAAAGATGCGGATTCATGACAAAAACTCCAGTATGGCCAATTGATTGACAGGAACAACCTAAGAAAAAAGCATATCGGCTTCCCCAACATTGGGTATGCTGTCGTTCTTGTAGATTCTTTTCTTTTTCCCAGACAAGGCTGTTCTCGATGCATAAATTTTGAACCCCTACACCTACATTCACCTCCTGCCATTTCACAACATGTACGGATGGAAGCAGGTGTCGAGATGAGGGAGGGGAAGGTACTTCAATGACAAGGCAAGGAACATATTTCGCTGCAGCTTGATGACTGACCACGTCAAGTTCAGGAAGTCGCTTCAAAGGCGACAGTGACACCAAGTCCGGACAAAATGTTGCAAAAACGACTGCCACACCGCCCATTCCCACAAGGATGCGGGCATCATAATTTCCACGTGCGCGTTGTTCCAGCGACGGTCAGAGAACCTAGAAATTCCCCGGTGGACGTCAGTCAATGCTCGGGGTGGCTTCGGATTAATGCCGTCATAAGTTGTGCGTGACGCCCCGTTGATCCGCTTCGTCAGCATCCTGTCGCATCTCCACGCACCACTGGCCGTGGACGAAAACATGCTTTCGGAAGCTTCGGACGCGTGGCATTGCGGGGCCTTACATTGTCGTCGTGTGTTGGACGCTACGCTCCGACCCAGGACGGTGCCGTGGGCGTGCCATATGGCGCTTAAATTGCTGCTATCTCCGAGGGGGGAAAAGCGATATCGTCACTTCGCGGCAATGCCCGACGTGGTCACATAGACCCCAGCATGCGGCCAGCGCTGCCACGCGCGCGTCGGCGCCGCGCGGGAGTGGTTGCGATGGTGGGCATTGGTGGGGTGTGTAGGGATGGGCAGGGTGAAAGGGTGTTAGGAGTGAATTAATTTCATTGTAGCCGTGAACGTCAATCCAGACAGCACGTCGTCGGTGCCGCTGACTCGGTCCATGCAACGTTGCCCTTTTTCCTCCTCATGGGATATACACGCGATGAGGGCGCTCATTACGCCTCTCGGCCCTCACTTTCCTTTTTTCCATGTCTTGTTCTACTAGAATGCTAGCGGCGGCGGCCTCGGCCATCGGGTTTAGGGGCGGACCGCGCGACCAAACACCGCAAGACAGAGAGGTCACCCGTGCCAACCCGCCACCACCGTCTTTATCGCAAGAACAATCGCAGCAGGAGAGGCAATACGGACAGCAATTTGAACATGCCATGCCACTGGGGCCATATTGGTACGGAACGGAAGGGAAGGAAGAGAAGTTGGAGGGGCCTCCAAACCTCGCGGAGGAAGATGAGCTTACTGCTTCCACGTCCACGGCGACGCCGCCGCGTGCACACGAGCACGACGGGAGCCCCGTTACGGAGGGGACGAAGCATGCGATAGAGGTAGCTGCGGGGGGACGAATGTGGAAGGCGGGGCCCCGAGGAATGGGGTGGGCACCGCGGTCTCCAGGTAGCGCGTCGCGGCGCCAGGGCCTCTCCGTGTCATATCCGTGGGAGTGCGAGGGGAAAACGGAGATGGAGGTGGAAGTGCTCGAGGAAGACGGCGAAAGCATGGGAGGGGGACGCGGGACCATGGAGCCTGCGGGGCGCATGGCGGCATCCTCGTCCTCGACGTCCGTGTCGACGGAGGGATGGGGTGCGGCGGGAGAAAGTGACGCTAGATTAGTGGGAGGAAAAGGTGGGAAGGAAACAGAAAGTGTTGTGGGAGGAAGAAGGGAGGGCTGCGAGAATGGTATGGGGCAGCTGCCATTGCGTACGTGTGGTCCTTCACGGTGCGGTTCAGTGAGGGGGGGGGGAGGGAGGGAGGGGAAGGAGGAG